ATTGGCCCTGTAGCCAAGATTACCAGTCGCAATTCTCTGCATTTTCCCATATCATCGTCTCTTCGATGGCCATTAACAACATCAACCACCACCACCACCACCATTATCACCACCAGCAACAACAACAACAACATTATCATCATCAACAATAGTAGTGCATTCATTAGCATTGCATTCTCGTCGTCTTATCGGCCCATTGACGAGGGGCAATGGGCGCAAATTTAACAAGTTTGTGAAATTTCCAAGTCCGTCTATCTCGTGTGGTTCACACACTTGTGAGTCTCAACTTGTCGTCCTGCCCATTCTCGCTCGCTTTCGCCCCCTTTCTCCACAAAGACGGCACATGCTGAGGATGAGGGTGTGGAGACGGGAGCAGGTTGGCTGCCAGCGCCGTTAACGTGTCCAGATGATGACGCAGGCTCCTCTGGTACAGATGGGGATTGGATGAAAGCAAATTGGGCTGTAGCAAATTACAATTAGAACTGAGATTAGTCCGGACAAGAGGGAGGCGACTGGACCATCCTCGTCAGGCCTGAAAGCAGTTTGTTGCTTCCAGTCGGGCGCTAGGGAGACCTTCAGGCTGCGGTTGCCAGCGCAGGACACAAACATGCCACCTTGTTTGACCACTAGCACACACCTACAGACCGTTGGCAATATCATCGTTTACACAGCACACACATACACATGCATGCTCGTTTAGAAATATGCATATATACATTTCATACAAGAATTGAAGTTGTGTGCATGCATCGAGTCTTGCGTATATGCACGATGCACGAAAGTGATCATGTGTGTTTATTGTAAGTTGGTATCTATCTATGCTTATTGGCATGTGTGTGGAGATTCACATCACTTCCACTTGGAAGTGTGTAGAATGTTCCGGTAATGCATACGAAGAAAATTTGGGGTTCGAACAGTCTCTTTGCCCATAACTATTGAGCTCACTTCCATTTCGAGTGAAAGTTGGATGAGATCAGAAGATTTCTTGTGGATTCCTTTTGGACTGGCGGTGATTGGCTTTACTAAAAACATTCTTGTTGAGACTGTTTCCGAGGCAATCTCCCCTCGATTCCTGCGAAAACATGCTAAACTTTCGTCCATCGCATGGTACAATTCAGGCAAATGAGTCAAGGCAACTCACCACATTATCCATTAATGCTGAACAAATAGACTAAATTAAGGTAATTTGTTTTCTGCATAGAAGTAGAGTTTCGAAGCACACAAGTGTGTCCATCTGTGTGCGTGTGTGCTCATGTGCATTTAGGTGTTTGTACATGTAAAAAGCCAACTACACGCAGAAAGGGGGTGATGGTGATCATTAAATATTGATGGTCGAGAAGAGAAGTTACTTCTTCTGTTCTAATTACTTTAAGCCATCACATAAACGCAGACACACACACACATATATATATATATATAGATGCAGACATGCTCACAAGCTTCGAGGTTGAAATATGACTTACAAAATCACTCTATACCATCATTAAAACCTTATATTGAGGATGTACATTCAGCCGTTGTGGAGGAGCAGGTGAGTTTTATTGACTCGTCACCGTGACTATAGTTGAAATAATGACACCATGCTTTGGTGGGGTTCGTCAAAGGAAACATGAAAGCATATCTCGTTTTCATCACACTCGAAGTAAAGTCAATCCAAGTCGAAGCGAGATCCGTTTCTGTTGGGTCAGATGGTCAAGAAGAATCATCTGATGGTCATCTTTTCGGGGGATTCACCTTCGAATTTGTTTACCAAACACTCCTGCTCTGCTAATGCCAGCCGAAGGGACGAGCTGACGTGCACCAATTCAGACGTCGTCTCCTCGTCTCCGGGAGATCTGGGAGTTTGATGCGCTGTCGAGTCTTAGGGTGAATGGTTTGTTGGTTACACTGCGAGTCGAAGAGGCGTTGGAAGGTTCGCAAGAAGTCCGGCCGGAAGTTGTAAGAGCATCGCCGTGGCTCTGAGAAACTTGAGACAATACTGGATCGCAGTGGCAGCTGAACATGCTCCATTTGCAGATTCAATTTTAGGCTTGTGCGTAAGTAAGTAAGTACGTACGTACGTACGTGTGTGTATGTGTGTACACAAGTTTTTGGAGGAAATGCCTCTTTTGAGCGGATCCAACAGAAACGGATCTCGCTTGCACTTGGATTGACTTTACAAACCGACAAAAGGGACTTACGATGCATTTTCGGAGACAGCCGAATTCGCGCTTTGTCAGGACGTCGAAGAGGCCGCGAAAAGTCGTAAACGGCAGAGCGAGAGAACAAAAAAGAATGAACATGGAACGATTTCTCTCGTGTACTACTCAAGAGACTTAATGATAGGCCCAACCCAAAAGTGAACAACCGGATGATCTTAGGATGGCCACAGGTACACAAACATGTCACATGTGGAGATATGATTATGAATAAAGCATGCATGCATTTGCCATTATCGTCGATGGGACTACTTGCACGAATGATAAGTAGGCCTTCGAGACTATCAATAGATTTTGTGCTCAAAATCATGTGAGTAGGCCTCATAATGCCATTTACTTTTACGTGGTCTTTCCCCTCAAAAGATATGCTGCTCTTGAGAGGACTGCTGCTTCAATCACATCTTGATCACCCCAACCATGGCATTGTGGGAAATTTTTCTTTGCTTCTTCATTCATTTAGGCGGCTCAGGCTGATTACATTTCTTTTCCAACACCTACTCATAATGTGTACAAGTAGTGCTGCCGACTGTAACAAAAAAACGCAAACCCACTCTAAAATGCGTAACAGTTAACGCGATCCTGAGTATCTACGCTTCTTCTTCAACATCTTCTGACAGACTTGAAGACCCGAATGAGATAACATTTTTTAGAAACGTAACTAAATGAAACTCGTCTCCAATCGTATTACCATTTGCGACCTCGGGTGAATACAGTTCTCAAACGAGATCTTCTGGGCGCATAAAAGTCTAGTTACCTGTACTACTTATGAGTAAGCGATAGACGCACATATGGAGGTGTGTTTAGCCAATAAACCCTCTGTCTACGCTTTAGTGCCTCGGTTGAAGTTATTACGCCATCGAAGAGACTGTAAAAAACATAAATGAATCATTAAGTCTTGACAACCGAAGAAAAATGTTATCCTCTGTTCTAATTACTCGGCGCTGGCACTGCTGGTTCCACACCATACCAGACACACATACACAGACGCGCATACGCACACACTCAAAACAACCTTACATAGGCGCATATTTCTACATTAACTTATGGCACATGCCTACCAGACGACTCTATACCTCATCAAATTTCATCGGGTTCGATTGTACGTACAGCAGACTGGAGCAGACTGGTGAGCCTATCTGACTTCGTAACTTGACGTGCATACAGGAATGGTGTCCAGACCAACAGACATGATACATCAAACAAGAGTCTACCAACTTGTCACCGAAATTGAAGCTGATTGCCTCGAGAATTGCACCCACCCGAAAGATTATGTCAGGCCGAGCTGCATTTCAAAAGGGAGGAGACAACATTTTTGGTGGGTGAGACTAAGTGAAATTCTTTGCGTCGTGACGCCTAATCTTTCCATTGTGGGATTAATAAAAGGCCGATTCAAGATACAGTTCAAATTCTGGCATATCAAATAGTTTTAATAAGGACAATGAATAAGTTTATTGTTTAGAGCAATGAAATTTTTTTTTTTGAATATAATGTAGAACGAACTAACTTGGACAACAGAAAATATTTGTCTACAAACTATGCATAAAAATAATTTAGCCAATT